TTGAGATATTCTTGGGGACTAAGGACAGTATCGTACTATGATATACCAACTTTTTTTCCTTTTTCCTCTTTTATCGTTAATATTGCTAGGTCTTCACCTAGAGGTATCGGTGATCCACTGTTACTAGATACGAAGGATCGTTAGGCGAGAGCTTCTTTAATTCCGTAAAAAAACCATCCGGACTATATGAACATATTTTAAGGTCGGAATAGTATCGTTAGTTACCAACAACTATCAGAACTTCATAAACAACAAGCTGGAGCTGAAACATACAATTTAACAGATAGGAATAGTTACAAGCATCATTTCAAAGTGCAATGAGATTAACAGATTCTTTATTCAATCAAAAAAATGACTCGCTGAATTTGTCAATATAAACATATACTCAGATTACGATTAGAAATTCACAATTTACTCGTTTTTATGAAATTCGATGTCAACACACGTTTGAAAAGTGCTTCAAATGAGCGCAAAAACGAACACTTTTAATGCCATTATTTTTATATTACCCTTAAAATATGGGTGAATTGTAAAGAACATTTGAACAATTGTTTTCCCAATATCCCAATTTCGGGAAAGCCGCCATAGAAAATTCTGGGGAACTTTCGGTGAAATGTCAACAAAAGCCCGATATTTCCCCAAAATTTCCCTTCAACCCTGGTGAAGGTCATCTGACCTTGAGGATTTCCCCTAAATTTCCCCAAACTAGGGAGAGTGGGTTAGAACGATATCTCATAAATAATTTGTTCACCAGATAATAAAATATGCCGCCAAAACGCTAGGCGCTTACTTTTATTTAGGACGACCAGATTATTTATTTCCTCGAATATAACTGCCATTAGACGCTACAGTGTAATTCGAATTACTCGATCAAGAATGATTATGATGCGCTTACATGTTTCTGTCTGGTCTTAACCACCAAATCGCCGACGTTTACATCGTCAGCCTCGAAGCATTTCCTTCTCTGAAAGTTTACTGGTCAACAAAGACCAAACATACCAGACTTCTAAATATTTTCATTCCCTCTGAAATTCAGAAATGTGCATAATGGGTTATCACTTAGATCAAGGTCAAAATCTAATATCTTATTCAGTTGAAGAAATCACGTTTGTTTGCCTAAACACAATCATTATTTTCAGTAAATTATCACTAATAAATTATCAGTTGTGTATTATAAGCTTACTGACTGTAAGTTCAGCCGATGTTCATCTGGTATCTTGAACTCAACAAAGTGAATTCAAAGTTGATATACATGGTCAGAAGTGTTACACCAATAGATAAATCGTATTTTTAGAAGCAAGAGGGTCCGGAAATCAGAAACAAAGAAAGAAAAAGAAAGCATTCTGTCAAAAATAACTTGTGGAAGATCTGCTTCTCAATTACTCCATAGTTTTCCCCATTTACATAAAATCTACTCAGTGCATTATTCACTAGAACCCTTCAGGTTATTGTCAGGGAATTATTAAGGATCACACCAGGTCTTTATCTTTTACATGATATTTATCACTTGACGTCTACTCTGGATGATGTAGTGACAAATGGATTCAAAATATTCAAAATTAGCCAATAAACTCCAATGGACACTTAAGCGTTCTATATGAGATAGTTATTTACTCCCCTTTCTTGTGTAAACGTAAGTTTAATCATTTCCCCTTACTAAACAATGAAATACCGACGCATTTTGAGTAGCAATGTTGCTCGTTTCACTTTCGCCCAATGTTGTGTAGTAAAAAGGTAAGACCGACTTATACTGCTTTCTGATTTTGATGATCAAACCATAGGTTAACTACATATCTAACAATTGTTCAGCGCTTGTACTGAGCAAAAATCTTTCATGTTCTCACTAATAGTTTATCCTTCTGACAAATCGAGGATTTTAGGATTCTTCTCTTAGCTCGAAAGGCAATAAACCTGCTATAGTCGACCTTAAATATTTTGATGTATATCGAACGACGGATAAATAACGGTTCGATATGCGGCAAGCCCTTGATTGAAGGACAGAAGTCCAGTTCTATGCACTGTGTGTAAAGTAGAATTGGTGGATTATTAATATTATCTTTGTCTTTGATGTACGTTACAGATATTTTTATTGTAAGTTTTTCGTGTTAAATTTATTTTCGTCTCATTTATATCTCGGTAATTGTTCTATCTAGAGCTTGGATTCTCAATGTATCACGTATAATCTGAACACTCGAAAGCTAGAACCCGCCTAGGTCGCAAATGAGAAGACAGAAGACAAGTCAAAGGAATGCCATTCTAAACAGTGTAATTTGTTGTACAGAACTGTCAGGTATTTATAGTTTTCAGTAGAAACGAAACCATAACTACAGTCCTACGATCCGCACACAGAGGGTTATTATCATTTGTGCGATATGGAAGCTCCATATAGGGATTCTGGAATATTCTAAAAGATGCCTGGATGGGATATATTCAGCTCTTCACGTGCTTCTCAGAGCTTCCTCGAGTTCACCCATGGGCCGTCCTCACACCTAGCCTCTTTAAAATCGGTTGTGTAAAACTTTTTCTTTTAATCAACCTGAAACTTGGTTACTGCATTCCACCTGCAATCCATAGCTCTTGAAGTTTGTATCGCTTTGACCTTGCCTCATCTACATCTCTACACTCGCACTACTTAAGGCTTTCTCGAGATGAATCCATGAGCAACTGAAACAGGATTCTGTTTTGTATGATCAATGTTCTGTCGTCCCGTTGAATTTGACTTATTTGTCTCATAAATGTTCCAACATTTCTCTAAACTAAGTACAGTTCATTTCCCACACGACGTTCCATAACACCTAGTTCTCACTTTTTATTACCTTGACAAGAACACTTTCGAACAAATATGGAAGCGGCGAGTGGCCGAACGATACTCATTCGTGGGTTTATTCGTCCGAATTTCCCATCCGAACATACACTCAGCTGGTGACTTTCCAGCTGATACTGCCGGATTGAGGACAACTCTGTAAGACATTAGGAGTTTACTGGTCATATGTCCTGGGGTACCTTCCCCCCTTTGACCAGAGATTTTTTTATCATACCCTTTTCAACAATCTTTGAAATTGGAAAATCTAGGAAGCGCCAGACCTCTCCTAATGTGTACTAGGAATTTCTTGGTAGATCATAGACGAAAGTAAAAATAGATTCTAAATGCTCCCCTTGAAGACCAGTAATTAGTAACATACCACAAGACCGTTGCCTTAAGATCGCTAATCACTACCGCGAGGTGAAAACCAAAGGGGTTTAGGACCTTATGAACTTCAAGATAGATATTACTGAGTTAGCTACTAATGTGTTCACTACGGTATACAGAACATAAGTAAGATCCAAACTTGAAAACCGAGTTCAGGCTGCAAGCGCTTATTCAAAAGGGGCCTCGGATATCTTTGGAATGTACGGAGAGAAGCAACCCGAGCGATTCCAGTACTACCAGGTGCAATATATAAAAAGTGGCTTCAAAAGCTATACCTCTTTACTCTGTCTTACCTTAGAATAAAAGATGATATGATTTTGACGTATATAATACTAGGAAATGACTTTGGAGTAGAAAAGCCAAGAACGAACAAAAAACCCGTGACATAAATTTTCGTACTGTTTCTCTATTTCTTTAAAACTTTTGCCTGAGGAATTGGTGTCCAACCCATCAATTGACCCATTCAAGAGAAGACGAATCACTCTCAGAAGCTTTTGAGGAGTGGACTGACATTGGGTGTTGGTCTTCTGTCCACAATATACAAATCTTACTTACCTACCTACGCCTGTTGTCCCACAATGGAGCAAAGGCCGCCGAACGGCATTCTCCAACCCTCCCTGTTCTGTTCCAGTTCTATCTAATTTTTGTTCATTTTTTTCATGTCTGCCTTCATTCCTCTGCGAAATGTGTTCTTTGGCATTCCTCTCCTCCTTTGACCTTCAGGATTCCGAGTTGGGGCTTGACTTGTGACGCAGTTGGGTGCCTTCCTCAAAGTGTGTTCTATCCACATCCACCTCTTTTTACATTCTCCAGATCTTCTCCATCAAGTGTGATTCGATTGTTGCATGCTGTGTTGCATCGGAGAATCTTGCTTTTCTCTTTGTGTATGTCGAGCCCGAATGATGCTGAGGCTGCTGCTCCCTGGCTGTTTTCTCTTGCATTTGTTGTTGCGATTGCGATAGAAAAGCTAGATCATCTGAAAAGCCTAGATCGTCCAGCCGCATCCTAGATGTTCACTGTATTTCACGCTTTCTCTCAGATTTTGACTTCTTGATGGTCCGATCGATCACCAGGAGAAAGAGAAATGGTAAGGGGAAGCAACCTTGTCTGACACTGGTCTTTACCTCGAACGAGTCCGTGAGCTGTCCTCCATGCACGATTTCGCAGTTTAATCCATTAATGGAATTCTCTATGATAGTGACTGTCCCTCTGGCACGCCGTAGTGTCGATGAAGCTTCAACAGTGTTGTCCTTTCCACACTATCAACTCCGTTCCCATAGACAATTAATTTGGTGTCGAGTGATGAAATCCATTCAGTAGATTGTTTCATGGTGACCCATGGTGTTGCGATTCAGTCAGTATACGATCGATCCTTTCGGAATCCAGCCTGCTAGTCTCGAAGCTGGGAGTCCACGGAGTCCTTTCTTTTTTATCCGGATGAATAGTTAACTGTAGTTTTGCATCGGCTTACATCAAATTTTTGATTCAGGTTTGTATACTGAATTATGTAAAACACTAACCAGAAAACGTAATTCTGTATACAAATCTGAACCACAAATTTTGATGTAAGCTGATGTAAAACTTCAGTTAAATATTCGTTCAGATAAAATTCATAAGGGAAACAATCTACCGAACACAAAGCTCAGGATAGATTATTTGGATGAAAAAGGTACTTTTGTTGCGTAAGAATACAGCCAATTTCGAGAAATAAAAATCACAATTGGACAATACCTCCTGTTCGTAACTTGCACGTCGGTTTGTTGTTTCATCCTTACTTTCTGACAACCAAATCCATATTAGATAAGTTATATGTCAATATGGCTGATAAAACGGCGCTTGATTGTGCGAAAGGTACTAGTTAAGTTTTTTGGATATTGAACGATTTGATGAGTATTTTTCAAAGTGGTACGTGTTGCACACATGGCAAGTGCTATTTCGGATGTTTCCTTTGTATCATGGGCATCAGCTGCTACGGAATGCACCAATCCAACATTTCAAACTGCATTAAATCGACCATGGCCTAATACCTCAATGCACAGAGATGTGCTGTCTGTACTTGCAGCTGTTACTAAGACAATCAAAGATAACGGTGGGAAGGAATCGCCCACAGAGTACTATGCCGCCTTGGTTAGTAATATTTGATAATAAGTAATAGTTCATGATTCTAGTTGACTCTTATCAATGAGTCCTCTGAAAAAGTGGCTGTTGCTTATTTACTAAAGCTAGTCATGTGCAAGTCGTAAGTTTGTCACCTATCTCACAGTCTTTAGTGTCCAGGATTCACTGTTGCGCAAAACATGTGGAGAGGCTGCAAAAACACTTATCAAACTTTTGTCGTCCCACAATATCAGCACTGATGCTTGTCTTATTAAATCCGTAATGTTTAAAATCGTTTTGTCAAATCTGTAGGTCTTAACGTGCCTTGGTAAACTTTTACGGGCTCAGTCGTATGACTCCTGGTCAACCGAATCCATCCGTCATATATATCGTCACGTGTTGCGTTTCGTTGATAGTGAGAAACCCAGCATTCGTAAATCATGTCATTCATCAATTGTTGATATCTTGGGTTCATTGAACGTCGTCAGTTTAACTGGAGATGTCGTTTTTCATCCTGCTTGCCATCAAACCCAGGAACATTTGTGCTCTGTTATCCGTCAAGAGACAAGGTATCCTTTTAATATTCTAGTAAAATTTGTATTGTTAATTTTGTTTTGAGATTTGGATATTATTATGAAAATCTCGGCCAAATTTTATCGCAGTTATTCACTTAGCATCAAATAATAAGTCGCAATGAAGCTCTTAGGGTTTATGTGTGTATGTTCACCGTGCAAAGGCAAGCCAAAAAGGGATTAAAATCTTCCAGCCAAATTTGTACTTAAAAATTCTTTATTCGGTTCGTTTCTACCTTCACCAACTCTTGGGTCACATTAATAGAAATTCCTTCCTCCAGGTTTCTTCGGGAATTATAAATATCTTCTTAATTGTTACTTGTACTACTTCATTTTGTTCTCATTTTTGTTTGTTGCCCTATTCACATATCTTATTAGTAATAAGTCCATCATTCATTCTACCCTGTAAGTTTGATTTCTAATGAACCATGCACTATCATAAGGAAGATGTGTCCCGGAACCGTGTTGCTAATTACAATTTGGAATATATATATATATATATATATATATATATATACCATGACAATGATTGCTATTGATTTTATCCCCTTATTCATATGTATGTATTATAACTCCACTAATCACTGGTTCGAATAGTCTAGAAAGTGTTCTTACTTGTCTGATACGGATTTATTTTGTTTGAACACACAAATATTGGTACAAGAGATTGCCAGTATATATGCGCCACACAAAACGATGAGAATTCGAAGAGAGAAAAAAGGTAAGGAGCGTAAAAAAAGAACAATAACGAAGAGATTAGTGTAAGGTAGTGTAGTAATAATGAGGGAACGGAAAGGTACAATCAGAGGAAATCTTTCAGTTAAGGGAGACACAACCACTTTTTATGAAGAAAGTAAAAGAAGGTTACAGCATGATCGCCACTGGCTTCTATTCTGAGCCATATCTGGTAACGTCTCTAGCCACTGTGTAGCACCATCTCTCGGACCTCAACCAGGGATTCGCGAAGGACCGACAGAAGCCAGCCCTTGCAGCTTTCTTTCATACCACGACACCATTTCATGCACTGACCACCTCTCCGCTTCTTCCAACCAGTCCCAGAGTCGGCAAATAATGCACGATGTGGAATTCTCTGGGACGACATTCGTAGAACATGTCCAAGCCACCGAAGTCGGTGTTTCAAAATGGTGACATCGATTGCATTATCATCTCTGTGCCCGAACACACGATGCCGAACCTCTGCATTACTGACATCGTGTTGCCACTGGATGTCAGCAATCCTTCGGAGACAACGAAGATCAAACACAGAGAGTCGTCTAACATCCTCAACTCGGAGAGGCCAGGTTTCACAAGCATAGAGCAAGATGCTCTCACCGACGCGTTGTAGATCCTACCTTTTACAGCCAGACTAACATCGTGAAGGCGCCAAGAGTGGCCCAGATTGGCATAAGCCGCTCTGGCTTTCACTATACGTGCATTAATCTCATCACTCACACCCCCACCAGCACTTATGCAGCTACCCAGATACACGAAATTCTCGACTACTTCTATCTGCTCACCATCCAGGGTGAGTACAGGATTAGAATCCTGCCAGTCTTGTAGAAGTACTTTGCACTTCAAAGGTGCAAAGCTCATACCGTACCTACGGGCACTGATTGCCAACTGATTAAGTGCGGATTGCATGCCTTGGGCATTATCGCACAGTAAGACAATATCATCCGCATACTCAAGGTCGAGGAGTCTTTCTCCAGGCAGCAGATCCACACCACCATTACTTACATCCATCAGAGCTGTTTCCAGAATGTCGTCGATGGCAAAGTTGAAGAGGAATGGTGAGATTGGGCAACCCTGCCTAACCCCACTGCTCGAATGGAACAATGGAGAAAGGTGGTTGTATGCCCTCATCCTGTCCGAGGTGTTAGTATATAGGGCTTTTAGGATGTTAATAAACTTCTTAGGCACACCCTTCTTCAATAGACAATCCCAGAGAACAGTCCTATCCAACGAATCGAAGGCAGCCCTGGTGTCATTAAACACTACTATTATTTGCCTGTAATAAGTATGACGGTGTTCCAACATTTGGTGGAGGGTGAATATATGACCAATACATCCTCGACCAAAACAAAACCCAGCCTGCTCCTCGTGAGTCAATCTTTCTCGGGTTTTGAACAGCCTACGAAGTATGACGGAAGCCAATAGCTTGAACGCAATCGGAAGTAGACTTATCCCACGATAGTTGTTACAGGTACGACGTGAACCCTTTTTAAAGATAGGGACAACTATCGACTCATTCCATGACGTTGGTGCACTCTCTAGTTCCCGAACCTTTGTAAACAACGTCGTCTGATGAGAAACTAATAAATATTTCCACTTAACGTATTTTTCTCAATTTTTCATAATAGGAATATGCAATATATTCCAATTCACTCCGTAGAAATTATATAACTAATTAGCAATAATTTTTTTAGACAACTAATATCCTCACTGCATACAAAGGATGTCCATTGCACTCGCCTCTTGCATTGTCTAAATTTATTAGCTTCAATAGTCCCTTTGCTCCCTTCTAAAGATGTAAAATTGGCTTTTGAATGTGTTCTTGAGTTAGCGAACTTCCCAAATCCACTGGTGAGTATATCGTTTTGAATTTGCTTACCCCTGAATATTTTAAATGCTTTATTTTATTAAGTAAGCTATATCAAAATACAAAATTCAGTTTATTCTCATGGAAATAAATACCGAACTAATCATACCAGTAAAGACGCTATATAATGTTCGTAATCGAACTGAATCAAAATGAAAATTCAGCGACAATTTGTATGATTACGTATGTCATTTCTGTTCATGACAAGCTTACTAGTTATTAAGGTTCAAAACTTAGTAATTTAATTTAAGTTATAGATTTTTATGGTTATGATTAAGTTGACGAACTTTAAATAAATCATGTTCCCAACTATCTATAGCTATGCAGTTCGCTTCAATAACTCTTAAATGATGATACTTAGTGTTTAGTTGTTAAGACTAAAATAGAGAAAAATCGTCTGCTGGGACTTCATTTAGTTAACTAAATGCTTGCTTTTTCTACTACAGGTTTATACAACATAACTTTGTTTAAGGTATTGTGATACTGAATAGGTTAAATTACGGAAAAAATACTAAAGAAAATAAAAATTAGTAAAGGCAGTTGTAGAAACTTATAAGATCCAGAGTTAATCTATTTATTTTCAATGTACTTGTACTTATCTACCACTAAACAAATATTTTATTGCAACACGTAAACATTTTTCCAGAGGGTTACAAATATATATGTGCCACACGGTAAAAATGAGATTGTAGTGGCATAGAAAATAGAAGGTGAACATAATAGAAAAAGAATACAAATAAGTAGGAATTAGTGTATGAGAGTGAAAAAATAATAATAGGAGAAACAGAAGGAATTCTTCCAGTTAAAGAAGTAAGAAAGTTACAGCAAGACCGCTATTGACTTCTTTTCTGAGCCATGCCCGGTAACGTCTCAAACAATGATACGATACCTGAAATTCATGGCCAAATTACTGAGTTATATATTCGCTCCTAAAATTTTTCCGATTTCCTTAGTTGAAAAGCTTTTTGAAACCTAGAATGCATATATCGCAAACTATAAAAGCTAGTCAGTTGACAAGCTATTTTTCATATTTTACCCCATATCTATTCATGTTGATAAATAACTCGTTATGTTAACCATTGTACACACTATACTTGATTTCTCTTCTTTTACTCATTAGGTTGTAACCAAAGTGTTTCATAGCTTTAAAATAATGTTTGATTCAAAGCCATCATTAAAAACTTTACCTATTGATATAGCTGCACGTCTGTTGACAGCATTGTATTCATGTCGACCCAATGATCCAAATGTTTTTACAATGTCTTCTACAAACAATACATGTACTGGAGTAGATGCATTAATTTCATGGATACAAGCTCTCATCTCAGGATGTGCATATTTGTGTGATTTTTCATTGTTAGCTTTAAAAACTGAGGATAATGAGTTGAAGAAAACAATTGAAAATGTTGAACGGTTCAGTATTCAACGGTTGGCTAATGAACACTTAGATCGTTTGGTTAAGACATTAATGTCCTTGTTGATATCTACCCCACTTCCACAATTAAGAGAACCGGTTACTCAAAAATTAAATCAACTTTTTACTGAGATTGTTGTAAGTAAACCATTTCATAGATCTTACTATCTGCAATTTTATTTCTGAATGTCCAGGCTTTTTTAATATATATATATATCATCGGATTGCTAAGCTACTACTTTGTGCTTGTTAATAGCACAGAATTCATAACGTCCTATTAATAACTTATCTCCTTATCCATTTCCATTTTTTAATTCCCAAGTTCCTCAGTAGCTAGATAACATACTTCCAAGGCTTATTCATACAGTCGCTGTAATTCATAACTTGATAAAAACATGTCACTGGCTGCTACTGTGCATTAAATGACTTGGTTAGTGAGGTATAAAACTTATGGCATACCAATAGTGTGTTCAATTGGATGTAACAAACGCTATTTAAGTGTTCCGTACTTTCATAATAACATTTGTCCAATGACGACCTAAGTTTTTATTACTAAGGGAAATAAATTGGTAGGCTGTTATAATGAATAAGAGCGTCTAATACTAGAAATCTAAATTTCGTTTGACTTTATTCATTCGCTCATTAGTATTGTGTTTAAACAGACTAATGAAACTGATAAAGTATTAGAAAACACTTGCTTAACAAACTTATTACTGAATAAGACTAATAAGTATACAATTAGACATCCCAATTAAGCTTTTCAATGGGTAGATTAACTCATTGCAACTAATCGTTAAAGATTTCATTACTATGTGAAGCTGATATTTGTATGAGATCTGTTAGTGTTGTCCTAATAGCCAAATATTTTCGTAAGATTTCGAGGAAAGAACAAAAATATCAACCGATTTTACATGAGAAATGCAATTAGTTTTTTAGTATGTTGATCCACCTATATATTGTCAGTTGCATTTTATTACTTCAAAATTATGCGCCATTCATAACGTAATGGGGATTTCATACGATATTACATGCTTGTATTAGAAATAATGTTGTGTGCCATCTTAATAGTGATTATTGCTTCATATTTATCTAATATGCTAGCTGTTTAGGGTTCTCAGCACCCATGTCAGTTTTGTAATCACCCAGTTAACTGATAGTAAACACACTGACCGGTCATTCATAAGCACCATAAAACCTAATACGAATGTGAAATGCCCCGAACCACCACATCATAACAGCACATCGAGATAAAGTTATCGAAAAGAACACCAAAATTGTACTTTCATTAGTGGTAGTTCATAAAAAGGTTATAAATAACGTATATGATTCGAGAATATAAAATGAATTCGAGGGTTAAAACTTTCAAAATAATTTTGAAATCCACAATCTAGCAGTTGACAAAATGTAAATGTAAATGTCATCCAAAGTCTCCAACCGGTAATTGCGATGCCATTTGTGATTAATAAAAAGATTGCTGATAATTCCAATTCGTTTCCACTGTTGTTTTACGTTATGTATCTCTAGAATAATAAGCAAAATGTAATGTTCCTTACTCTTACTCCCAACTGTTAACTTGTCACTCGCTTTCAAAGCATTCCATGTTTAAGTTAATGTCTTCAAATTCTACTGTATATTGTAGTGCTTACTAACTATTGCCACTGACCATCACACACTAGTTATGTTTACCTACACGTAGTTACTGAGTCCCATTTGCTTTGAGTATGTTTCCTTAAAGCTGCAAAGGCGATATACTGCCTTATCTTGTGACGAAGTCCTGGAACTTAGTTGAAAGTAGACGATTTTATTGTCCACAACTACTTGAATCTCATGAATTTGGAATTTTTAACTTGGTTTTACCTTTCATCAGCTATTAATTGTATTCCACAAGTTGATCCCTTTGGAAGATATTCTGTCATAGTTTTCTATGTAACATTTAAAATATTATGATATATTATCTTTACCTTCTAATTTTAGGATCCCCAGCTAGTATCATGTCAGTTAGCTGATTTACTTCCAGACTTTATTCCTAATGTCTTATGTAGTTTTATTACTGGTCTTCAATATACACATTATGAAATATGGAACCATATATTATGCTTAATTGGTCGATTTATTATGATTATTTCTAAAGTGTTCCCTTCTGGTACAACACTAAATTCAAATTCTCTCGTTGAATTATTGAAAGTAATTTTGCATCTACGAGATTGTCTAGTTGATGGGCCTAAAAGTTTAATCAATCTTATCCATGTTGATCTGGAGAATTTCCCTCTAATTGGATTAAATGATTTGGGTGAGAAAATTATCGATGGATTGGATAGTGTTTGTTTATTGGCCGTTGAATATATCGGTCCAGAATTAATTCTACCGGGAAATATATTTTCTTTGGAAATGATTATTGAAGAGTTGTAAGTTACTTATATAAGACCTGGTTATATATATATATATATATATATATATATATATATATATATATATGTTGAGAGAGAGGGAGAGTCCGATATGTAATCTTCATTTAACAAACTTTATTGCACCCTAATTATTATATTTTCACCATTCAAGTCATCCCTAGAAGTCCTCAAAAGTCACAGTCTTCAACTATAACGTTACCGATTTCCTTACACAATTTTCCAAACTATAGATTTTTAGCTAGAATCTTGTGCGCACAGATGAGCTTATCAAATTCAGTTAATCAACGATCATTAGAACTGGACCTGTGATAAACATAAGACGATACCGTGCACGTTTTGTGTCTTCATTAACATAGGAGGTCGACGGATATACTCAAATTTCATCGTTCTCATAGTCTTCACTTCCCTCAATTAAACGTCTGAGCCATTTTTTCTTCATTAGGTTATCTCTACATATACACTTAACGTTTATAAAGTTATTGGGAAATTTTCTTAAGTTTTATTGAAAACGTTAATTGTTTAGTTTGTGTGTTTATTGGTCAAACTATATATATATACTCTGTGGATTAGATGACTCGAAGACACATTTAGAAAGAGTCGATCATGGGTTTTTATTTCGACCCGTCTAAAGTCTCAGTAATTTATCTGATTACTCGTCAATAGACATAATTGGACTGTTTCACTTGGAGTTTTCATTGTATCTCTTAAACATTTATTACGAGTATACTTCACTAAAGAACTATAGTTATATTTTGTGACATGTACTTTTGAAGAACATTTTATATAGATACAGAACCCATCACTCATGATTTCAGGCATGTCTTGCTGACGAATATCAATTAACATTAAGTGTGTTCAAAGTTCCCCATCGATTACCTCCAAACATAACATCAAGCACAGTGTATATGGTATGGGACCACCTACAATATTAATTGCCTTGAGACTTGACTGATAAGATTAGATTAACTCTAAGGACCAGAACAACATGACATCAGTTGCTAATCAATGGATAAATTATTCAGAAAATATTTTAAGTTACGTGGTTAAAGTCAGCTCATTATCGCTAATGATTTTTGACAAATTTTTATTTGCCTTAATTTTTGTTAAGGGAACTTAGTAATATGTCTGAATTATGTAAATCATGTCCAAGGAGTTTTTATAACTAGTGCTTTACTCGTTAATCACTTCTGAACTACCTAATACCTCGCTACTACAATTACACTGGATTAAGTAGAATTCAAGTCTATTGGCTCATACTCAAATGTCTCCATTGTTAGATCAAACTTTCAAGGCTTAATTTCATGTACACTGCAAAAGAAAAGATCTTTTTGGTTTGAACATCAAACGCGTTCATTTCAGTTCATGGTCTAGCTAACAAAGTTTACTGATATCCTGGTAGTTTGCTAAAAATTATATATAACATACAAAAGTCTATCCTTTCAGTTCGTAATACTTCTATCAATACTCATAACATTTATTCTTAAATGTTTGGTTAAGAAACTTATCATATGTGCAAGATATCCCAAATAAACTCTACTTATTTTTTAAAATTGATTACTTTCATTTTTTGACATCAAACTTCTTAATTTTCTTAATTCATTCAACTTGTAGAGAGACTGGTAAAATTGACCTGCAAAGATCCTGGTTTCTGCCGTTATTATCACGTGCAGTACCACAGAAACCAATTGCATTATCAATCTTTCATAAACATATCCTTCCGTTAGCCGACAGAGCTCTTGCTGTAGCCACTGTATATTCTTCAGCGACTGTTTTGTCTGATAAAACAAAGCCTCCAAATAATGCTTTAATAACTTTATCAATTAAAGTAGCTTGTCAACTTTGGTCCTCACTAAACATGTTTGTACATCACAGCCCTATAGATTGGTCAGAATTATCAACTGGTGGGTTAGGATGTCGATTAGTTAAAGAATTGAATTCAGCTCCCGCATTAAGACCAATTATTCTTCATACATTTCGCCGATTAGCTAAACTAGCTGTTGGTAATGGTAAGTTTGAGTAATTTTTGATGATAAATATTTTTAAAATTCAATAAAACTGCTTTTACTCACTTGTTAAACCTTATTAACATATCCTTTTAATGTTATTTCTGATGCTTAACTGGTTGTGTGTATCCTTGTGAAACATTTTGGACGGATTTTTTAGAGATATATAGTTTAACAGAGCTCATTAACTAATTCTATGTTTTGTATTCAAGTTTGGGTTACACTGGTTATGCGATGATATAAGAGATACAATAATAAATGAACAATGTTTTTCTTGTTTGCATATCTTCGGTTCACATTTAGATAAAACCTGAATATCTCAGAAACTATACAACCATGAATACATATAATCAACGATTATCCCTCATTGAAGGTCTATCTTAATTTTTCGTCTATTTTTTCCGACTATATAAATGCAATGTCTCTTTCATTTACCAAGTATGATCTCATATTGTGTACTTAGAACTGAAAAGGCTAGTAACCCTGTCTGACTGAACCAGAGTACTTTAAAACTCCAGCGTAAAGTTCACTAGTTAAAAGTCAAACAATCTAACTGTTGAAACTACCTGGAAAATATTTTTTGCTTAGACTTATATATATATATATATATATATATATACTTTTACACAATCTACCATCCTAATTATATCCGAGTGTTGATTGTTCTGGGGTTGTATTTTTATCTTGTTGCTTGAGATGTTTATTATCGTCATATAACTTATGTAATTACCGCCATACTTTCGTAGCTACTGTTCAAAATACAATTCCTCTTTTTTTTCTCCACAAAAAAAGACCTCGCTATTACAGTTATGCGTGGCGGTGCTAAAACAGCTATACCAAATATGTTATCGTTGTATGAAACACTGGACACATTTACACAACATTCATTAAAGCAAAAAATACAAGCGACCCTATCATATTATCTACCAATTTTATCATCAAAAGTAAGTATTTCAATTAGTTAATTTTATTTTTAAAATAAAACTGTCATCGACTACTTTCGTAAAAATAACTATAGGGAGGTTCAGCTAATATTTTACTGTTATCTTATCTGTTCAGGAGAAAATTACAAGTGTTGTTTGAACTCTTGAATTTCTAAGTGATGGAACCAAAAAATCAGAAATAAGCGTCATCTAACTAGTTCTAAACTATCGATTGATGCTTATCACTGACCCTCTACGCCATTGATGTGTTTCAAACCTCGAAGTCAGTACAAAGTTGCTGAGTTGTACTACAGTAAAAAAAACTAGATAAGAACCATGATTAAGTGTTAGCTTTCTTGAGGTACTATGACCAGTATCTTATTTACTACTCTAGTTTCCACACTTTTCATCATTCCATCTTTACGTTGACTATGTCTATGTATGTAATGCGTTATGTTGTTCCCTTCTCATATTTAAATTTCCTTTGTTTTACCATTGTTTACCATTCTATATTTGTAACCTTGTTTTTCTCCTTTCGTTATGTTTATGTAGGGTGTAGCAACTTGTACCGATGCATAAATGTTCTAGGTGCAAGGTTGGTAATTACTGACTACTGGCTGATATTAATCATCAAAATAACAATGTGATGAGAAACCATAAATATCTATTGAATTCTTCACTTAATAAGCCATTTATTTGATTCTATTTTAAGATCGTGTTAATACTACGAATAAACAATCGTGTTTATTCGTATTTTTATGTTTTTTGAGATATCAAATATCTCTCTTTGAAGACCACCTGACTTTTTTCTCATTCCCACACACAATTATTGTCGTTAAAATCTCATTGTGTATTAGAGCTGTTCGGTCTGTCTAAAGTCGCGTTACATCTACCCTTCTTATATCAGTAATATCACTTGGTCTTATTATTCCCTCATAATCTTAAATGTGACCAAGCTGTTGTTCACGACATCTTTCTCCATCATCATTATATTTTGGTATCCATACATACCTATGCAATTATTTGAGTTTATTTGCAGAAGTATAAAAATTGCTTATCTTCACACACACAATTACATAGTGAAGTAATTGTTTTGTTTTCCCTGTTTGTTTTTTTGAAATTTCAGATGATTAGCTCTTTGACAAAAACTGCTATGATTAAATTTGAAAATACAAAAGAGTAAGCGGTATTTTGTTAATATTAATTATTTTTAACTGATGAGAATGAACGACAGGGTATTTACTCTATCTCATTGGGTTATTTATTATCAATCAGTTTATGTTAAAACTAATGCAGTATCCTATCCTGATATTATTGATCATGTTGATTATCAGTTCGGTAATATAATGAATCGACAACATTAGAAACAAAAACGATCCCTTAATTTACATTTTAACATTGATTATGATCGAAATCTTTGTTGGTTATTGATTTATTATTTGTAATTGTTTGCCAAGTACATAGGCTTATTGTATATTGCGGTGTGCTATCTATTATGTTTAAGCGCGAGTGTATTATGCTATCTTGTTACCTAAATCTAAGCAGATGAGTGGGTTTTGAACATGTGGTTTATTGGTTTAAATTCAACACCTTAACCATTGAGTCACCACTTCACAACTTCGTACTCCCGATATTCCAATTTTATGTACTGATTATCTAGTTATTTCTCATCAGTCAATAAATAAGGAAACCTTTTTGATATTTAACGAAATACTTCCGAATGTGTTCCCAAAAGACTATAAGTTAACTCGAAACGTAGATATAATTAGTGCAGTTTGTGAATAGGGTTGTGTTGACTATTGAATTTATTTTCTATCTAATTAGAAATTGTCGATATTGTTACTCTTTACCATTTAATGCCAATCTCGAAGTGTTGGATGGTACCAGTAATCAGCCTCTGTCAATACTACCTGAACCAACTGTTTCGTTGAACATATTTTTGTTTAAAATTTCATACCATTTTCAAAGACAACTAACAGTGAACTTGTTGGACGGTTATTAGAATTTTTTAATGGCGGTTCTTTTGTTCGAATATATTATATAAATAGATGAATGTTCATTCTCCCTTTTTAATCTCCACTTTTTCTACATGTTACATGACTACTTACTGCTACATTGTTCCCATCTGTCTTGTCCTGGAGGGTTTGTTGTTGTTGTTTCAACAATATGTACAGATGTTTGGGATTCCAAGACATTTTGATCTGTCGTCTCAACTGACATTCCGAATAGGCATTATGAATGGTAAAATACCATCGTATTCATGAAACACAATCTCATCACTTGTGATATAGTTTAAAAATTCGTTTTAATTGATACAATCTCTAATAAAATAAGCAAATTTTATTTAATACCTTAGTCATTATTAATCGTTCTTTTCTTTTTTTGAAACATACATACACATTCCCACATTTGCATACACCTTCGGTGTATACACTCTCTGTCTTCCCTTAAACTAAAAGATAAAAATCGCTTCATATCTTTTTTCCACGAACTAATTCTTTCTTTCTGTATTATATCCTTATTGCAATCTTTCTTTTATATATTACCACCTCTGAATTAACTACTTTTATGAATCCGGTGTCCATCTTGTTGTGTTAATGAGGTATGGCAACTTGGACCGATGCATAAATGTGCCTGGTCCTACGTTGTAGCTGACCGACCGACTGATTACTTATATCTACCGTTTTTTTTATTATTTTTTCTATATAGACCAGTTTATTTGGAAATATTTCAAATTTTAACTGCTTACAATTCTGTACAAGAATTGGAACAAATCATAAAAAGAATTAATGAATACTTAAGTGTAAGTGTTTATGTATTAAGCGTTTTTTTGAATTAATTCCTTTTCGTTTCCAGAAAAAAAACAACTTGTTTATCCATTTAAAAATCACCAAACATTTGCTTTATTATTACTGGTCAATGTAACATTTCAAATTCCTACTTATCCATTTAAGTCGGATTATAAACATATTAATAGTATTAACCAATGGTGCAGTAGCGGCAGCTTAATCGTTAAACGACACTAGATGTGAATGTTGTGGTCTCACGGTATCGAATGCATGAAGTGGTGACGATAAATCATTTACGAAGTTTGTAAAGCTGTAAAATGCTTGAATTCCAACCCAGCGATTGGGTGTGATGTTGTTCTCGTTATAAGACCCGAATGTACTTTGTTCAATGTCTTTAACTGTTAAAATGAAGCAATGTCTTCAGTGCTTCACCTATTAATGTAAATTTGTTTGTTGATTTTTTTCCGAAAACTGTTTGTTCAATAAACCGCTTGTATACTGAGTTGACTATTGATTCTTATCTTTTTTGATAAATAATTTTTTCAATGGCTGAGATCATGAGTCATTTGAAGCTAGACCACTATGGAAAACTTGGAAGCACTGGACCGCCGTTTCGTCCTATTGTGGAACTCCTCAGTCAATCAACTTATCCTAAATACTTGTCAATATCTCATTCATTTAAGTACTTGCTATAGTTAGTTTGGCATTCGATTATAAATCACTCATCTCTAGTTCATCCTCCGTAATCTTTTAACCGGTTAAATGGAAATTGAATTTGTGTTGTCAAATCAGCTGAGTATATGTTGTGATGGATTCTATGGAGAGATCTTTGTGAAGAACACTTATGTGTTATGCCATACTCCAGTTAGTCAAAGATACATTAGAATTCTTCTACATTGATCGGTGATAGATATGTATTTATTGATTTTTCGTTACCAATTAAGTTAAGACAATATTCTATATGTATAATAAGTGGCAGTCAATCTATGTAACCCTCATCCCAGTTCATTTTGTAAAATGGTATTGTTACATATGACACTTTTTAATTTCTGCTCATAATTGTCAATAATATTTTTTAAACATTCTTTAAATTAAAGGATCCTCAATTATCAAAACCTTTAAGAAAACGTGTTTGTCGTGTGTTGGAGAGTATTTGTGCTGGAAGTACTAGTCAAACAGATGAATTTTTAAATTTACACTTTGATGATGTTATTCGTATGATTTATAGTTTAACAAGGAAACCAGGCACTAATAATTCAACAACTGTTACATCATTAACAGATAAATCATTAAAAATCGACAATAATCTTACTGAAACTATTGAAGAAAAATTAACTACATTATCAGTATGTGAAATGAAAATTGGTAAACCTAATAAATTATCACAATTCTTTATACCATGGAAATCTATTTTACGATGTATTCAACATTTATTTAAACGTATAGTCACTAATGAATTGAATACTATTAATAATACTAATCAGTCCAGTGATGAGAATTTGACAACGAAAAATTTAATGGATAATGAACGCTTAAAAGAATTTGCAAATATGTTTCTACCTGAAGTATGTTTGTCTTAGTAAATATTGGATAGATTAATTATGTATTTTTTTTCCTATTTTTTTCTCAAAAATATCGAATAATAATTAGTGTAATGCATGAAGATTTTAAATTCGATTGTTGATGAAGTCGTAAATGCTTACTACTGACATGATCTACATTTACGATAAAACAGCTATCTAGTGCTGTTCAACTTTCATCCAGTTAGTCTAAGGTTTCAACCCCACCCCATTGTCACCTACTTTGGTTTGGGTAATCGTCTAGGACGATTAGTGTTATAATTTCTCTTGTTACGACCCAGCCATTCCTGTTGCTTATTAATCTTGGCCACCCATTCACTCGAAAAGTCCTCAAATCAGAACATGATTGAATAGGAACGAATTTGTATTCCAAATAACATGGGTAGATGGAAGTAGGAATTGTAATAAGAAAAATGTTAGTATATTTATAGTTTTTACACGAAAAGATTTCAGAGAATTCGTCAAGTATCCACCCGTGCTGATTATTTAAGAAATAGCCAATCAGCGTGCCCCAACGTAGTCCCGCATGGGACGTACTTTAATCCAATTTATATTCTACTAGCAATTAGCCCCTCATACTGAGAATGCAGCTCAAAACTAAGTACACGAACCTGTGTCTACTAAATAAGTTAACATTTAATAGGGGAATAAGTAGATTTATAAAGATTTACAATATCACAGGCTAATATCTTATTCCCCCTATGTCTATTCTGACAGTTCAATGATAATTTTCACCAAGGTGGTTATTCAACAGTTGGTAATTCCATACACGCTTGTTGTTGTTAAACTTTTGTATCGAGTTCCTCGTGTTAGATAATTTCAGTTAATTATATCTAATTTTCCAAAAGGTATGTATATCGAAATCAAAAATTTAACAGTCAAATCGCATTAGTCTTGTTAGAGACGTAAACAAAGATTCTTTCTTCAATTCGAATGCTACCTAAAATACTCTTTAGTTATTTATATCAATGCGATAGTACGTGAGTTTTCGAGTTTTTGTATGATTTAATTACTAAATAGTTCCCATAACTTCTTACATTGAATAAGAAACGCTAAGAGCTTCCACTGGATTGTCTTATATATTATTTCGACAATCCACTGTGGATACCTTTCAATCAGTTATCCTCTTACAGCATTAGTGTTGAACGACATGCTGAACCATTTAAAATATCCTCTTTTTTGACTAATAACAACCTAGCTGTGGAAGATTGTCAGCTGACCATTCTACGTAATTTTTCCTTTATATGGATTTACTTAATGATCACTCATCCCCTTGTTATTTTCAACGTCAATAACGTGGAAATGTTTAGCTCGTTTTCATTGCCTTGAGAAAAAAGTCTGTTCAGCTTATTTATACATATGAAAATATTTGGCTGCAGCCATTCATTGTTCATTATTCCAGACTCGTAAATCAATGATAATCCACTAGAGCATCTCAGGTATAGTCGGAAGTGGGATAATATTGTTTTCTACCTTTGTAACTATTTTGTGGTGATTCCTTTCTCATTCGCAGGATTTACTGAATGAATATGTTCAGTCAACCCTTCCACATACAAATATACCCTTCATGTTGCGTTAATTTTTTCGTAAATCATTGTTTAATTCGAATTGTGACGTTCATCTTCTATCATTCTATGGTATATATGTATTTTTAATTTCTCTAGATATTAACCTGTTTATGTGAATTAAATCAAACAGTAAGAAATTTAGCTGGAAATTTATTAATCAACCTTGTCTATGCATTTGCTGGTCAACAAGTATGGGATAAAAATAAATCCTCTTTATCAATATATCAATCACAAAATAATCTATTAACTTTTGACAGTAGAAGTTCACGTCCGCCAACTATAATGAATAATATTATGAATGATGATACAGATACTGAAGATGATGATAATGCTAAATTCAACAATAAATCAACTAACTCTTCTTTAATGGGAGGCTTAACATATTCTGATGGAGAAGATAATGATGATATTATGTCAACAAAGTCTATGCCACGTGGTAGTCTTATATCTGAACAAGTAAGCGTATTTATTTATGCATGAATTGATATATATATATATATATATATATATATATATATATATATATATATATATATATATATATATATATATACTGGTCACATCATCCTGGCTCCAACCGACTATTTCTGTCCGGATATTCATATAGCAAATATCACTAGCCATCACACAGAACGTCTGGTTCAAAGTATCAATTATGCTAACCTATTAATTGGTGAATGATTTAAACCTTGTTAATTAATTATCTCAATCTGAGTATCACACAATACTTTCAATAGCTACATGCTAGTCACAATATTGCTTAAAAGTAGTATGCGGCGGATCGTCGCATGAGAGTTACTGCAGTCGACAGCCAAAGACAAGAGTCTCAGAAAGTCACAAGTACAAGTACGGCAATTTCTGAATACTTGTGAGGCCATAAGAAAAGCTATAAAAGAGTCTACAACCAACCTGAGTTACGGAACCAATACATGAAAATGGAAGATTGAAGACTAAGTGCACATATTTCATAAATAATCTGTTTTCCTTCTAAGTAGGTATATATATTCTATCTGAACTTGTCTGTTTGTACATTACACTGTCATACCAATTTTAAAATTGTATGTATTTGTATCCAAGTGTTAACGTTAACATGCAGATATGAACCATCCAGTATCTTTCTCTTCAAACACGAACACTTTATTCATTGAACCACTAAATCCAGTAGCCACTGACTTTAAATTACTAATTTCAACTAACATTATAAATCTAGACAGAAAAATTTCTGACCGCTTTTTTTAAACTGGTGTTATTTACCCGTGAATCGGATAGTTTTGAATCTGAACATAGTAAAACACGATAAGGTATAACCTTCTTTCTCCAATTAATTAGTTTACAGATTTTCTTTTCTCAAAAAACATTTTCATCCACACCACGAATTCAAACTATTAAAACCTAAATCATAAACCTTGAATAATAGTCTGTACACAAATTAATTGACTCTGAAATTGCCATTGAGAAATACACTTCAGTTTAAAAAAATTTATGCTTAACAACTTTGAATTATATAAAAATAAAAAATTTACATCTAAGTAAAATTGTGGTCTTGTTTCCCTTTAAATCAAGCTTCAGATCACATGTAATAAACTTTGAAGTATTCCACAACTTATTGAATTGTGTGTTTTTTTATTTTTCTATGTCGCAAGTGAGTATATAGTTATAATAACATTGAAACCCTGATAGTTACAGTTAGTTTTAAGTTTCCATTGATTGTCATGAGTAATACTACTGATATTGCGAATTTCAGTATTTCACCTTAGAGGTATGTATAACCCATATTCCAAATTAAAAAAATTTTCATCAATGCACGTTTTTTTATTCTTAGATATGTCGTGCTTTAAACTTGGTTTTATCACGTTTATGGCCATGTCTACCACCGCATAATCGTCCTGCTACAAATTCAATTGAATTATCTCTACAACAATCGTCGGCACGTGCAATCTGTTTACTCATGAGACATTCGCGTTTCAGACAAGCGCTTATTTTGAATATTAATTCCGAATCAAATTTAATCTCTCAATTAGTGTCTACATTATTGTCTGAAGTGAATTTAATTAGTCAATGTTTAGTTCAATCAAATCAACGTAAATTAATTCGTTTAGGTTTACAACTTGCTCGATCATTAATAATATTCATTAAAGAAGGTTCTATTAGTTTAGCTTCTGTGGTAAGTTCCATGTAAAATGTCTATTGTTTGTTCAATCAATACTCAAACACTGGAGACGTTACTTAACTAAATAAGTGTTTAATCGCTTAATAAAGCCAATTGGTTTATGAGATTTCACATAATGAGTTTGTTGGTAATACCTTTTATACAGTGAGGCGTTTACTTATTTGTGGGTATTAATGTATAGGCCATTACTTTAAACCTTGAAATGTCCCTATACCACAAACACATGAAAAACAAATGTATCTAGTAGTCTACTACGCGAACTTGTATTATTTATGGCATTTATTACTTACTACACTTACTTTAAAACCCGATAATTTCAAGGTTGAATACACACTGAATCATAACTACAAAAATATCACTTAATCTAAACTAAATTCTTCAAAATAGGCACTACATATTAAAATTAAGTGAAAATAAATTGCAAATAAGAGATTATTAGTGACTACTGCCACATCTCACTCTCGAATAGCAACTATTTGGAGATGGAATTGAACTGATTTCTACCATATCACTAATTAGATGACCAGTACATGAATATTAGAATTCCAATTGACAAACGTTCTATTTAATTTACAGTTTGGCTAGTTAGGTATTATCAGTGAAGCTATGTACCATATAAATATTCAGTCAGTCAGATACAACGTAGGGCCAAGCTAATAAACGCATCGATCCAAGTTGCCACACCCCATTAGCATATCAAGATGAACACCACATTCTTACAAGCAGTTAGCTCAATGGTAATAATATGTTAAAAAATAGAGTGCATATAAGGAGAAAGAACTAGTTCGTAGAAACGAAAGGCAAAAAGTAATTTTAATCTCATAATGTAAGGGAAGATAGAGAGTGTATACACCGACGCCATTGTGATCGGTTCTCAGTCATGTCACCAAGAGTCTCCAACCATTGGTTACGATGGTCACGCGGACTCCAACCAAGTAGTTTGCATCTCCCAACATGGCTCAGACTAGAAGTTATTGTCTTCAAGCACTGATGCCACGTTTTGGTTTGGCCGCCCCTAACTTTCAACAATACCAAACACCGGTTAGCATTTCACGTCGTGGTAATCGGTGTTCAGGCATACGTAACACGTCCCCCAACCATCTCAGTCGATGAAGATTTACAACCTCATCAACTGATTTACCATCATTCCGTAATATCCTGTGTCTAGCCTCACTATTACTTACCCGGTGATCCCAGCAGATGCCAGAAATATTTCTAAGACATCTGTGGTCAAATACTAGTAGCTTACGAGTACCTTCTACTCTTAATGGCCGTGTTTCACTGCCGTAAAGTAAAACAGAACAAACTGCCGCACAGTATACTTGTCCATTAATTGATAGACGGATATTTCGCCTCCGCCATAGGTGACGCAAGTTGGCAAAAGCCAAACGAGCTTTCCGAATCCGTGCTGAGATTTCGTCAGGTACCAACCCATTACTGCTGATCAGGCTTCTAAGGTAAGTGAAGTTGTCGACGTATTCGACTACTTCACTCGCTATCCTTAGTTCAGGTGTTTACGCAGACCAGTCCTGAAGCAATAACTTGCGTTTAGAGGGGAGGAAACACGTTCCAAACATCTTGGCATTGTTGCTTAGTGCTACCAAAAGACTGCATTTTATCAGCGTCTTCACCAAACAGGATTATGTCATCTGCGTTTTCTGAGTCGATAAGTGAACTTCCTGGTAGGGCATCAATCCATGAAAACTCAGACGACGAGAGCGTTATTTCCATCAGTAGGTGTATGAAGAAGTTAGACAAAAATGGAGAAAGTAGACAGCCTTGACGGACACCACTTGAGGTTGCAAAAGCAGATGACAGTTCGCCATAAGCTCTGACTCGACTAGTACTGTTCGAGTAAAAACGCTTCACAAGGTTTATGTACATCTGAGGTACAACTCTCAATGACAGACACTGACATAGAATCTCGCGATCTACAGAGTCATGCTGCTTTAAAGCTAAGAATGACTACCATTATCGGACACCGACAAGCATACCTGTATTCTAGAACCTGACGAATGGTGAATATGTGGTCGATGCAGCCACGACCAGGTCTGAAGCCAGCTGAATTCTCTCGTGTTTGCAGTTCACGTGCCTTAGTTAGGCGTCCAATAATTATCGAGGCTAGTATTTTAGATACTATATTAGTTAAACTAATCCCTCTATGGTTGTCACAGGATGATTTTAACCCTTTCTTATATATTGGGACAATCAGTGGTTGTGACCAGTCAGATGGGATTACGTCCAACTCCCAGATTTTGGCTAAAATATTAGTTACCTTAATCGCCAAAAATGGACCATTATCCCTAAATACCTCTGGAGTTAATCCATCTGGACCAGTGATATGGTGAGCCAATCAGAAGTGACCTAAAGGACAAGTGCATTTCACTGGCTAAGAAATGAGTCAATGTCCTAAAGACACAGTGGTATATATATGGATGAGCATCTGTACGTTTTATTCGGTAGTCCAATACACTTTCTCACCACTGTTTTGTTCTCGATCAAGTGGTCAGTTGAGGGGGTAGCGCGTAGCACACGGCTCATCAGTATCAGATTTCGGACACCGCAAGTCACAACAACCAGCTGCTATTCCTCGTTTCAGATTAGTTATAGCCTTTTTAAACTTCAATTAGATTCAGAGGGTCTATTTCAATGTTCCATTCAGCCTATTTGGAAATGGTGGGTAATCGTAGAATATGTTTCTATCCTTCCAAGTTTTTACGGAGCCGTTTAGTCAATGGTTCAGTATTTTAGGGTTTTAGCCAAGGAGGCCTGCTAACTGATTTGACGTAGGGCGTGTACGTTGAAGGCTCCAATGTGTAGTTTGGAGCAAGGCTTCAGTAGACCTGGGACAGTATTTCGCGCACTAGAATCGTTGACCATGGTGATTCGAGGGTAAATCGAAGAAACAACTTTAGGTTTGATAGTCGAGGTAGGAAGGATAATAGGAATGGTAGAGGTAATTTGGTTATGAATACAGTGGCCTTGGGTGCTGTTCGAGATGTGGGGTCGGTTATCACTTCCCGGTCGCCCACACCGTGGAAGGGTTCTTCTAGAGGTATCTGAAAATGAAATTGGGTTAGAGATGGTCTTAGTGACCTGGGAGCGTGACCGCAGTGCCCAAGGGACAACTGCTCGAAGTCGGTCACACACGACCTTTTTGTGGGTAATTTTCGTGGTACCTCCGTAATTATTGGAACCTTACTGTCGGAGACAGATATCCACGGGATAAGGTGAGGTGTGCATTTTTAGGGTCGACCTTTTCTAACCCCACCTCTCCCTGTGGGAAGGCAGCATCGCTGTTATGCTGGTTTTCTGAGGGAAACACCTTACTGTTGTCACACCCCTGTACAGTCAACAGTACGACTTCGCCCTCGAACCTTGGGTTTTCTGCTTTCAGTCCTACTGCTCTTCAACCGACCTGCCTGTCATGGTAGGACCTTGAGGGATGATTGTTCCAGCCAGTATAGCTCGACTGGTTTATTACTATAGGCGAGCCCGACCACCACATGAATGTAGTAGCAGCAACGTTCGGGAATATAATTATTACACATATTAAGTTGATGTTGCTCACTAATTGATTAAACATACATTTACTTATATGAGATTTTTCTTTATTTGTTTTTCATAATTTTATCTTGGAATATCTGTTTCTTTTCTACATTATTATTGAAAAATATGGCACTTTTATTATCCCCATGTTCATATTTTCATATCATCATTTACAGCTTGAGACTTTACAGTCCATTCATTCATCTTGTAAACGACCTTTACGTTTTGTTGTGAAATCCATATTAGAAAAAATGGTTAAAAAGTTTGGGTATGTCACTGACCAATCACTTTTTGCTCTTGGTAATAAAATTATACTTTAAAATGTGATTATATAAATCAGCATTACCGCCACCCCTCGTCCATATTTTTGAAGTGTTTTGTTATCCTTGTGGTTCTCTTCGTAAAAGTTACGCCACGTAAATAATCTGATAATTTTGTGCAGTATTTAGTGATCAATAACTACGTAGTTGTAGCTAAAATAAGCACAGTGAATTATACAATCAATCAAAGAACGTTGAACCTGAAGTACATGTACATCTTTCCAAGTTTCTGTACCACATAAGCACAACGAGATTAAATTTTCAGAGCAAATTCTAGAGTCGTAGAGATAATAGAAGTATTAATGTTAATAGAAAAGATTAAGCATGGGAGATGCTTTTCGGCAATTATTACGAAAAGTTTCTTTTGATAAATTTAGAAACTTGGGATCCAAAGAAAGATAGGTAGTGAATGCACCTGAAACATTGCGAACAATCGTGAACCATGTCACCTACTGTCAATAACTATTGGTTACGATGAACCTGCTTACCCGAGTCTATATCTATTTACATGGTACAGTCCAGTTTTCAGTTGGTGCCACATCTTCATTTGACCTTCACTTGAACCCAGGAACACCAGACCACAAAGGCTGATGAGACTTCCCAGATGTGTGAGGCAGTCGACACAACTACTTCACACTCCCTATCATTAGTTCGGGTGTCGATGCAACCCAATCCTGAAGCAACATTTTGCATTTCGAGGGGGGATCGCATCCCGAACATGCCTGGATTGTTGCTTAGAGTGGTCAGAAGACTGCATTTTGTCAGCATCTTCATCAAATAGAACTATGTCGTCGGCATATTCTAAGTCAACAAGCGAATCTCCCAGTAAAAGTTCAACTCCTGGGAATTCAGATTCTAAAAGCACATCAACGACAAAGTTAAACAAGAATGGAGAGAGTTGACAGCCCTGACAAACACCACTTGAGGTAATCAATTCTGATGACAGTTCGCCATAAGCTCTCATTCTACCAGTTGTGTTTGAGTAGAGAGCCTTTACAAGGTTAATGTACTTCTTTGGTACTCATTTCAGTGACAGACATTGCCATAGAACCTCACGGCCGACAGAGTCAAATGCCGCCTTAAGGTCGAGAAATACTACGATTGCGGGGCGTCTGAATGTGTGTCTATTTTCTAGGACCTGACGTAGTGTGAATATCTGGCAGTGTCTGTCACTGAAATGAGTACCAAAGAAGTACATTAACCTTGTAAAGGCTCTCTACTCGAACACAACTGGTAGAATGAGAGCTTATGGTGAACTGTCATCAGAATTGATTACCTCAAGTGGTGTTTGTCAGGGCTGTCAACTCTCTCCATTCTTGTTTAACTTTGTCGTTGATGTGCTTTTAGAGATAACACTTTCCTCATCTGAATTCTCAGGATTCGAAGTTTAAGGTTTATAAAGCTTCAGTTTGTATGATTTAAGTATACATTTGTCCATCCGATATGACAGTATTTAGGATTCATGTTTATCAGTCACGAGAGTAATATGTGATGACTAATTTTTTATGTATCATATTATAAAAATCAAGATTACGCTTTTTATTACTATGTTATTGTTTTACAGACGTCAAGCTATTCAGGGTTTGTTGAGTGTTGAACATCAAAAAATGGTACGCAATTCAGTTAAACTAATAGCTCGTCGTGAACGTAAATCTAAAATGCTTGAACAGTCAACTTCAAAGACAACACCATCATCGTTGTCATTGATTAGTGGATCTACTCGCCAACAAATATCCGACATCGACTCGGACCATAATTCAAGGCGATCAATATCCAATGATATTAAAAGTATTCGTTCATCTATTCACAGTAAACCATCATCATTATCTCTGCCAAAACGTGTACATATTGCTCGGTATGTTTTGTTTATCTCTTTCCAATCTATGTGTAATAATTCTACGCGTTTTTTTAAAGTAATGACTTGGGTTAACTCGAGGCCAGCAAGCCTGAATTTATCGTTTAATGTTGATATTCCCGTGTCACACAGTGATGGTTTATATTGTAACGTGGTCATTAAGAGTAGAAGATACTCGTAAGCTACTAGTATTTGATCACAGATGTCTTAAAAATATTGCTCGCATCCGCTAGGATCACCGGGTAAGTAATATTGAGATTAAAGTAATTATAATGATGAATACGATAAATGTTACAAGTATACGTAAATATTTCAGAATATTACACGACAAACTCGCGTTTGGGTATGGGCGTAAAAATTGCTGTGAATACAACTATTTACTGAATATAGGTATCATTACCAAGGTTTGATTTGATAATTTCGAATAAATTGAGCATTGGGTTGATTGTTATAAATAAATTATTTTTACTTATATTTACTGAATAGTAATAAGTAGTATAAAATAGTACACAAACGTTGAAGTGAAGTGAATAAGTACAGAACGTAAAAGAGACTTAACACACTTTTTGTCTCCCCTTAAACTGTGAGATTAAACTTACTTCGTACCTTTCTTTCTACGGGGTAATTCTTTCTCCCCGTACCATATACAATATTTTTATATATTACTACCATTGAAGTAACTGCTTCTATGAATTTAGTGTTCATCTCGTTTTGCTAATGAGGTATGGCAACTTGGACCGACATATATATGTCATTGGTCACACGTTATACATGACTGACTTATTGAGTGACTCAAATTGAATGTGGTGTTACTTCATAATTGTGAATAGGCTAGTTTTACTGTACATAATTGATTGATCGTTCTCTTGTTGGCGAATACAAGATATAAACATTGTAAAAAAAATTGTTTATCAGAACTAAGCTATCAGCTAGTGTTTACACAGAAATAATATCTTACAAGAAATGTGTGAATTCGCACTTAATGTTAATAAATCCCATCAAAGAGAAATTAAAAGTTATCATTCGTGTTTATTCTAGCTGCTAGGATAATCATAAAGCATAGCTCTCATATAGTATAGGAATACCCTATCAAATCCTATAGAATCTATGAACAATCCCATTTGCAAATAGTATTAACGATGATTATGATCAAAGTGCACATGTTGATATGCTTGCTTGCTAATTTCCTCTCAACTCTAGCTTCAATAAAGTGAACGAAACCGATGCCACTATCTTCGTCCCTGCCCTGCTTACACTAAATTATTATCAATCGATACTCCAGTATAATTCAAAAAATACACTTAAGATAATCAGTTGTACATCTATTTCATATGCCCGACAATCTAGTGTTTTTTCTCATATCCCTTCGGCTTCTTTTTATCATTTTGTATTCAAGGATGGATGAACTGTTAGCCACCTCTTCAAGTGAAGATGATGATCGTCCTTCAATTCATTCACATGCTAAATCTAATCGGGGTCAAACTAAATCATCACCTCGTGACAGTTTATCATTGAAACATACAAAATCATTGGTAGAAGAATTGGAAAATGCCAAACTTACTGCTGGATTGTGTAGACGTTCACGTAGAAATTTAACTGAAAATGGATCTTTCAATAATATGATAGACAATATGGATATTGATATAGGTGCCTATAGTGAAGATGATGATGACGACGATGAAGAGATTAATAAAGCCTTATGTAAACATCCATTTAAATCTAAACATCAAGTTCGTTTTGCCACTGATACAATTAGTCATACATCAAAAACTCGTAGTCAGGTGTCGCGACATACATTATCAGCAGTAACCACTGCATCATCACGTCATCAGCCTTCGAATGATTCAGATCTATGGCTTGTAGAAAATCCTGACAGTTCAGAAATTTTAGATTTATCTGATCCTAAATCACTCGCTCGTCATACAGCTTTTGCACCGGATGGTATGACAGCAAAAGCTATGGTTAACATTTTTCAGAATTCATTGGCTGAACAATCAAAATTATCTGCTTCGCAATCAAATAATAAACATAATAATCAACCTTTTCCTATTGTTAATGGGAAAATTGTTATTAGTGGTAGTACAACTGATGAAAATCAATTAATGCTGACTAAAAAAGATCATTCAAGTAAGTATGTTGTAGTTGTACTGTGCCAATTTGATGATAGAATACTTTTTGACAGTACAGTGAGATGAATTTGATTTGAAAAGTGTAATGTATTTGCGTACATAATCTAGTCACACATACGCTAGTCAAAGCATTTTATATGAAAATTAATCAAGGTCAATTAAATAAATAAACATGAAGTGATAACTGTAAATAGAGGAGAGGATAAAACTAACATAATATGTAAATAATACAAAATTATCGCACTACTATAGGTCATAAAATACAGTAGCAAATAGCCCAGGCTATCGATGAACATGATGGAAGCAGTGGACATCTGTCAACTGAAGTATGTTTGTTATATGTTGACAATATGATGCGGTAGCGCTGTTTAAGAGATATATGGATGATTTACTGGCTATATACGATAAATAGTTAAGTGCCGCCTAGTTACCTGATAAACTCAATAGCCTACTAAATTGTATCGTACATACATGAGGGAAAAGATAATAGCCAATTACCCGTTATAAAACTATGTCTTGTCAATATTTACAATCTAGATATCCGATTAGCCATCAAAATAACTAGTATAATTGCACAACTGTCCGCATAATTTATTTATTTATTTATTTGAATACATAAATATTGGTACAAGAGAGCGCCAATATATATGCGCCACACAAAACAATGGGAATTCGAAGAGAAGTAGAAAGAAAAAAAAACAAAAAAAAACTAAGGAACGCAAAAGAAAAAGAGAGTAATGACGAAGAGGTACAATCACAAGAAATCTTTCAGGTAAAGGAGACACAACCACCTTTTATGAAGAAAGTAAAAGAAGGTTACAGCAGGATCGCCACTGGCTTCTATTCTGAGCCATATCTGATAACGTCTCTAGCCACTGTGTAGCACCATCTCTCGGACCCCAACCAGGGAGTCGTGAAGGACCGACACAAGCCAGTCCTTTGCAGCTTTCTTTCATGCCACGACACCATGTCATGCACTGACCACCTCTCCGCTTCTTCCAACCAGTCCCAGAGTCGGCAAATAATGCACGACGTGGAATTCTCTGGGACGACATTCGGAGAACATGTCCAAGCCACCGAAGTCGGTGTTTCAAGATGGTGACACCAATTGAGTAATCATCTCTGTGTCCGCATAACCTTCCCCAACAAGCATTATAATTAGCAATATGTTTAAAAATTAACACGTGAATGTAATTAGTCCTTCAAATAAATTATGTTGGGTAAGTGCTGCATATTTTAACCGAAACAAACAAGATGATTGATTTAATTGTTACTAAACTGCCCGACCGTTGCTGCTACTACATTCATGTGGTGGTCGAGCTCGCCTATAGTAATAAACCAGTCGAGCTATACTGGCTGGAACAATCATCCCTCAAGGTCCTACCATGACAGGCAGGTCGGTTGAAGAGCAGTAGGACTGAAAGCAGAAAACCCAAGGTTCGAGGGCGAAGTCGTACTGTTGACTGTACAGGGGTGTGACAACAGTAAGGTGTTTCCCTCAGAAAACCAGCATAACAGCGATGCTGCCTTCCCACAGGGAGAGGTGGGGTTAGAAAAGGTCGACCCTAAAAATGCACACCTCACCTTATCCCGTGGATATCTGTCTCCGACAGTAAGGTTCCAATAATTACGGAGGTACCACGAAAATTACCCACAAAAAGGTCGTGTGTGACCGACTTCGAGCAGTTGTCCCTTGGGCACTGCGGTCACGCTCCCAGGTCACTAAGACCATCTCTAACCCAATTTCATTTTCAGATACCTCTAGAAGAACCCTTCCACGGTGTGGGCGACCGGGAAGTGATAACCGACCCCACATCTCGAACAGCACCCAAGGCCACTGTATTCATAACCAAATTACCTCTACCATTCCTATTATCCTTCCTACCTCGACTATCAAACCTAAAGTTGTTTCTTCGATTTACCCTCGAATCACCATGGTCAACGATTCTAGTGCGCGAAATACTGTCCCAGGTCTACTGAAGCCTTGCTCCAAACTACACATTGGAGCCTTCAACGTACACGCCCTACGTCAAATCAGTTAGCAGGCCTCCTTGGCTAAAACCCTAAAATACTGAACCATTGACTAAACGGCTCCGTAAAAACTTGGAAGGATAGAAACATATTCTACGATTACCCACCATTTCCAAATAGGCTGAATGGAACATTGAAATAGACCCTCTGAATCTAATTGAAGTTTAAAAAGGCTATAACTAATCTGAAACGAGGAATAGCAGCTGGTTGTTGTGACTTGCGGTGTCCGAAATCTGATACTGATGAGCCGTGTGCTACGCGCTACCCCCTCAACTGACCACTTGATCGAGAACAAAACAGTGGTGAGAAAGTGTATTGGACTACCGAATAAAACGTACAGATGCTCATCCATATATATACCACTGTGTCTTTAGGACATTGACTCATTTCTTAGCCAGTGAAATGCACTTGTCCTTTAGGTCACTTCTGATTGGCTCACCATATCACTGGTCCAGATGGATTAACTCCAGAGGTATTTAGGGATAATGGTCCATTTTTGGCGATTAAGGTAACTAATATTTTAGCCAAAATCTGGGAGTTGGACGTAATCCCATCTGACTGGTCACAACCGCTGATTGTCCCAATATATAAGAAAGGGTTAAAATCATCCTGTGACAACCATAGAGGGATTAGTTTAACTAATATAGTATCTAAAATACTAGCCTCGATAATTATTGGACGCCTAACTAAGGCACGTGAACTGCAAACACGAGAGAATTCAGCTGGCTTCAGACCTGGTCGTGGCTGCATCGACCACATATTCACCATTCGTCAGGTTCTAGAATACAGGTATGCTTGTCGGTGTCCGATAATGGTAGTCATTCTTAGCTTTAAAGCAGCATGACTCTGTAGATCGCGAGATTCTATGTCAGTGTCTGTCATTGAGAGTTGTACCTCAGATGTACATAAACCTTGTGAAGCGTTTTTACTCGAACAGTACTAGTCGAGTCAGAGCTTATGGCGAACTGTCATCTGCTTTTGCAACCTCAAGTGGTGTCCGTCAAGGCTGTCTACTTTCTCCATTTTTGTCTAACTTCTTCATACACCTACTGATGGAAATAACGCTCTCGTCGTCTGAGTTTTCATGGATTGATGCCCTACCAGGAAGTTCACTTATCGACTCAGAAAACGCAGATGACATAATCCTGTTTGGTGAAGACGCTGATAAAATGCAGTCTTTTGGTAGCACTAAGCAACAATGCCAAGATGTTTGGAACGTGTTTCCTCCCCTCTAAACGCAAGTTATTGCTTCAGGACTGGTCTGCGTAAACACCTGAACTAAGGATAGCGAGTGAAGTAGTCGAATACGTCGACAACTTCACTTACCTTAGAAGCCTGATCAGCAGTAATGGGTTGGTACCTGACGAAATCTCAGCACGGATTCGGAAAGCTCGTTTGGCTTTTGCCAACTTGCGTCACCTATGGCGGAGGCGAAATATCCGTCTATCAATTAATGGACAAGTATACTGTGCGGCAGTTTGTTCTGTTTTACTTTACGGCAGTGAAACACGGCCATTAAGAGTAGAAGGTACTCGTAAGCTACTAGTATTTGACCACAGATGTCTTAGAAATATTTCTGGCATCTGCTGGGATCACCGGGTAAGTAATAGTGAGGCTAGACACAGGATATTACGGAATGATGGTAAATCAGTTGATGAGGTTGTAAATCTTCATCGACTGAGATGGTTGGGGGACGTGTTACGTATGCCTGAACACCGATTACCACGACGTGAAATGCTAACCGGTGTTTGGTATTGTTGAAAGTTAGGGGCGGCCAAACCAAAACGTGGCATCAGTGCTTGAAGACAATAACTTCTAGTCAGAGCCATAGTGGAAGATGGAGACTCTTGGTGACATGGCTCAGAATCAATCATAACAGTGTAGGTGTATACACTCTTTGTCTTCACTTAAACTAAGGGATTAAAATCGCTTTGTGTCTTTTTCTACAATCTTATTCTTTCTTCCTGTACTATATCCTTATATGCAATCTTTCTTTTATATATTATCACTTAATTAGCTACTTCTTTGGATTCGTTGTTCATTTTGTGCTGATGTGGCATGGCAACTTGGACCGATGTACATATGTGCGTGGTTCTGCGTTGTCGCTAACTGATACTACATATAATTCTTTTTAAGAAAATTAGAAGCAATATATTGTGGCAATTCAAACTTATGGATTTATATGCCAGGTCGCATATTGTTTATATGTGACAGCACTGGTTGAGATGGAACGACTATGTAAGGTGTAGAAGAGTTAAGGACGCTATTCTCCGACTCGTATTTTAAACAAGTCGTTTGAGACGCAATATAATTATCGGATATCTTTTGAAATACAAAACTAAGACCGTAAGACTTTTTTAAAGCGGCTCGACTGAATATGAATACGTTCTAGGACAGTGATGTTATTTTGTAATGCTGATCGGTTTACGTGAGAGCCTATTGTAAACTAAAATCGCTTTCACATTCAAAATAGGTTGCAATATTTATTTTTCTTGAATTAGCAGAATGGGATCTCGATGATGATGACGATGATGATGGTAACATACAGTCGACTTCCTGTGTGAATAAAAACGATGTTAAACATCGAAAAAAGAGAACTATTCCAATACCTGGTCGTATCTACGCATCAAGCAAAGCAAAAGGTGATATGAAACGACCTGGTATGCCAGAACCTTTTGCGTTTGTTCCACTTGGAGCTGGCATCGGTAAATCAAACAATTCAATTAGTCAAAGAGTAACGCCACTTGAACGTCGGCGTCTTTTGAGAGAAGTTGGCATGGGAAGACAGAAACGAAAGAGAATTCAAGGTGGTAACCAGATGAAATCCTCGAAGAATATTCCTTTGAAAGTTTTTCATAAAAAGACTAAACTTTCAAAATTATCGAAAGCTAAATTTTCACGAGATAATATATAAAACACTGGAAATCTTTGTGATCGTTTTTTTCTTCTGATCATAATGTTATTATCCTACTAAATGAATTTATTTGATTATTTAAAAGTTATTCGGTTATGATTTTCAGTTTATTTAACGGCTAGTAGGTTTATTCCCAGTTTTAACTGCGTTTATCCACTACATTCTACTGAGTTTGTTCTACACAGAGTACGCTTTCCTTGAAAGGGATTGCATGAATAACAGTATGATCTTGAATAGCCCTTACGTAATTAAATATTAGAAACTGCAAAGTAGTGCATGTCCAGTGATTATGGAATAACCGCAGCTCACATGTTTTGTATTTTTTTCGTTTGTGTAGCATATATACGCCTCAACTCAAGTATCGGTAAGAACTTTAGTTTATCGTATAAATTAAACATCTCCCTCCCAGTACTCTAAATCTGTAATATACATTAACTTAAAAATCCACAATTCTTAAAAAATATTTGTATTTAGCCTAACCAACATTCCTCACTGCATGTATTCTGTTTTCTCATGTTAGTCATCTTAAAAGCAAGGATGGTAATTTAAAGAACGTTCACTACTAAAGAAAAATTTTGCTATCATGTTAATACTTTATCCAAATCCATAATGGTTAAGAAACAGATACAAGGACAGTTTGTCTGTACGGCACCAACAAATTGAAGAACTCACAACTACGTCAGAGTTTTGAAATTCTACTAATTGGTTGTGACATGTTCCAAAAATGAGTACTTAATTGCCTAATCAACAAGTAACAGAATGGTACCAAGTATTATATTCCAGAACAGGAATATATACGTCTATTTTTAAAACCTGAGGTAAACGTTCAACACTTAACTGAAATCAAGATAACAGGTGTCCAGATGCACTCGTAAGAAGTTCAGATGGTAAACTAGTAACCTATTAAAAGGCTGATAACCGCTAGCTTTGATTGTAAGGATACTACGGCGATAGTTGAGCGAAGACTAAAATGCCACATTAACCAGGAATTCAGCTGGTAAGTTACGCCTTGTGTCGACCAACATAAGCAGAAATCAGAAGATCTTGCGAATTACCACTAAGAAACCAAGAAGAAAAACTACTTAGTCGTCTCTCTCAGTATTCTGACCACCATTATAGTAATCGCTTGGTGAGTTGATTTCTGGTAAGATTATCCGCTCACTAAATCTGATCTACTGCTATAAATCGCCTCTACCTATTCCATATTGCCTCACAATTGAATCCCACTCTATCTCCTCCATATTTTGTTCCAACTAGAGTGAGTTTCTAAGTGTTTATTAGTACTATAGAGACTGTATAAACCTACTAGTGTGCTATCTGTAGAACCAATCTTTGTAACACTTCCCTCGAATCATAAAAAGAGGGTGGTTGGAGACTCTAGTCGCATATATATATATATATATATATATATATATATATATATATATATATATATCATGTATTCTACAGAAATATTAAGGAGAGGTCAACCATCAGCTTGTGCCAGATTTAATCACACTGATTAAACCAAGATTTATTCCAAATATACACAGGAGTTACACTACAAGCATTCCTCACATTAACGCTCCACATAAATTAAAAGTTATTGGTTATTTTGTAGGCAATAAGCTTCAGGTCTCTATCTAGAAAACGATCACAAGTTGTACAAATATGGTCGACACAATCAGCCCAGTAACTATAACCAGATTAGATTACGTCATTAGTTGTGAAGCGAATTATAATAATATAAGTGATTGAGGTAACTGAGAGTTACCTAACACGAACATTTATTGCCTACTCAGATATGCACAGGAGCAATTTGGTAAACTGACACATGCCATCAATTCACGGAATCATTGGTTGTTGGTTTGAGTCACTATTATTCAAATCACTTCCACTGGCGTAATTGCATTCATTTTCTATCTCCACATTACTACTTCAAACTTTATATTTTTCGATTTTGATTGTACTATATTATTATTATATTTTCAATTTTTGGTCTTACTATCTTTGATATTAGGATCATTTTACAAATCTCATTGCTTTCTTTTATTATTGTGACTAGTAAATTTGTATACACATCAGTCTACTTTATTAAGGCTATCCCAAATCCAATACCAAGTAATTTCAAGAAACTTTTGCATAAAAAGTAAGCAAGTCAAAACTATTTCGATTGAAAATATATAGTACATTTCTACTATATACACGACAAAGCAATTGATTAGTTCAGTTTATGTACATCATTACTGACAATTTGATTGTCAAATTGCACACTAAAAAAGTTACCAATGTGAAAAATAACGTTCATATGGAATGACAACCGTAATCGTCCAATTCAGCTGAATTCCTTAGTTGATCAAGGAAACTACTTTATAGTGTACATGAAATTAAATTATATACAAGACATTGATTTGAAAAACTCTCTGAAATTGAAATATGTTAGCAGTTATCGAAAAATTTATTCTTTTCTTAACTTGGCGGAGGAGCAGCTTGTTTGTCTTCTAACTTTCGTTTAATCAATGCCTTAAATTGAGCCTGCAATTTTGCTTCACGTTTAGCACGCTCAGCATGGTTAAAATGTTCTAAAGCACGTTTCTCATCGGCTGAGTATATCTGGTTCTCTTTACGCAAACGAACAGCTTCCATACGACGATGACGACTACCTGACATGACATAACCCTCTTTTTCAAACGATTCAATCTCTTCTGGGGTTAGACCGATTTCACCACGTCGTGGTATACGTTTACCTTCGGCAATATAAGCTGCCATTGCTGCACCTTCGCCCGGTAATAATGCTCGGCCATAGTCTAACGGAATTAAGCTGGAATGTTCAGCAGTAGGTAACATTGGGCCGACAGCTTCTACTTCCTCTTCCTCTTGTGCACGTTTACGTTCTAATTCACGTTTCTTATCCTTCATTTGTTTAATAAATTGTTTCTTTTCATCTTCACTATCTACTTCAGATTCTGAAGATGATGAGGAAGAGGATGTGCGACTAGCATGTTTATTCTTCCGCTTTTGTTTTTTGAGTCTATTGCTCTTTTTTGTTTCTTTTTTATGCCTTTTGGAGTGTTTATGTGACCGATGATGATGATGGCTGTGGTTCTTATGCTTGAGCTTTTTATGAGAATAAGAAGTATCACGGTTGTCTGGTATTTTGAAATCTGTTGGAAGACTAGGTCCGAAAGCTTGCCCAGAAATTGTATGCTGGTCGTTATCTGAATCAGAATCCTCTTTAGGTGGGTTCGACTCCCATATCTGTGTGTTTACAGAAGCACCAGCGCGCTCACGCATTTTACGACGTCGCTCCCAAAATTCTGGCGTTTGATGATGATTAAATTCATTGGTTTTACGATGACGACCTTCATTTTTATGACTAATTGACAAAGACGGAGATTTTGATTTGGAATAACTTTCACTGAGATCATGTTTATCCTTGTAAGAATGCCGACTAACTTCATAACCTCTGTGTGTGGAGTCGGCATTATGTCTAACTGCATTTTCACCATAAGATCTTCGAGTAGGACTGGAATTTCGTGACTCCATGAAAGGAGACCTGTCATACCTTTCATGATTGATTGTCACCATGTCTTAAAAAAACAGAGAATTGGACAAAACATTTTCAAGTATTAATGAACAGAATACCTTACATTTACTCTGACAAGTACAATTAAAACCTCTTAGATACGTGTTGACGTGAAAAGGCTAAATGTTGGGGTTTTAAAAGATAGGATAAGCACAGTTGTATTGATTTTTGAGGATTAATTTCAGACATCTTAGCATCCAACCAGAATATATACACTCTAATGAATCATAAAAACCAATGGCTTGTGACTTCTAAGTGACATATATAGTCATGATATACCGGATATATATCACGCTTCGCACAAACATGGAGTATTGTGGTCGGTGTAGGAAATAAATAACCAGTGATATCCGAAATCAAATAGACATAGAATAATGCTACACAAAGTTAAATACCAAGTGACATGAGGATGAATATTCATGAGTATTTCTGTATAGTGAATAAATGACATAATAAAAGGGGTAATTAGCTACCGATTTATAAGTGCGATCGTAAGTTAGTCGACTAAAGTAACAGGTGTATACGACCATCTGAGATTTAAAACTAGGTAAGAACGTTTACCTAACAAACTGTCGATAGGTAAACCAAATCGCAATACAGACGATGTAAAGCGTCAACTCTGGGACAACGAATTGTCCCAAATGTGGTTTTTAGCCTGGCCTGATAGTACTTTAGAATAAAATTCCATGTTCGTATCTTTATTTCATTTTGAAGCAACGGTTTTTGTGTTCTTATACTTCTAATTTCCTACCGCTGTCCTGAATTAACTTATTTATTTAAAGGACTGAACATTGGCACAAAGAGGCCATCAAAATATTTATACACAGCACAGAGTGGATATCATTAAATTTGAGTGTGTGGTTTAGTCCCCGAGCCTTCGATCTAGAGGTCTAATCCACAAGACAGTGGGGCAACGTCGAGATGCAGTCCCATGGTGGCTGGTGACCGAGATTATGTTCATACGTCATTTGTTCCTACACGATCCTGAAGCCTATGTGCACGACTGGTTTGAAAGTAGGGTTTTCCGGCGGACTTATGTTCATCTTCTGCGCTCACCAATCCCAGTAAATTTGCTTTTCGTCCTACCAATTTCATATACAGCAACCCTACCCTGGCAGTGCTTATATGCGTGTTTTCGAATGTGGGTATTTTGGAAGGGAGAGCAAACTCTCCGCATCCTCGGGAGTACCGGTCTATTCTGGGGACACCGACAATCACATAAATATACTGTATTGGAAGAGGATAATTTCACATTGGTTTTCAGGATAACTAGACACTATCCTGGGCTTAACACTGCAGCCTGGAAAATACGGCTTAATCCTGTGGCGCAACTTCACAGGTACTAGAACCGCAGTGGACCTGTTCTGACGTAAAGTATACCTGCTTGGATAGGTACACATCCAAGCCAGGCTCGAGTGACAATGTCTGGTTGATGGTATGTTTAAATTATCAACATAACGTGAAGTCTTATCTAATAAGAATGTCTAAAT